ATGGAGGCGTCGCCGGCGCCGCGGTGGCAGATGGAATCAGGGCTGGCGCCCCTCGGCCAGTGTCCGCGTGGGCCTGGTGGCCCGCGACCCTCGCGCGACACCTCTGGACTGGCGGCACCGGTCGCATTGCTGGCCGCGCCGTCGCCGCAGGGCGTGGCGCGCGTGGCTTTTTGGAGGGCGACAATGGCCATTGTGTGTCGTTCCGCAGTCGTTGGTAGAGAATGCGCGGCCCGTTGCTCAGCGCGGAGCCGCCATCGTTTCCGAGACTGGCGCGCGTCCCAACGTCGCCAGGGGATGCTGCCGTTGCGGTTGCGGTCAACAGGGCATTTTCCTGTCACCCGCCGATGAAAATTGGAGCGAGTGCCGGGGCGGCATCCTGGCCCAATGCGCGGACGCTCGGGCGAAGCTGGGAAGGCGGCGCGACGCTGCTCGTCGCCTATGCGGCGAAAGACTATGCAGAATGACTTCCCCCACAGCCATCGCTGGAAGAGAACGGCCGGCGGGTCGGGGCCGCCGTTCCATCCCTGGACCCCTGGGCCACTCAGGGGCACGCTGGCGGCCGCGGCCCGGGCGCTCGCGAGAGCCCTCGCGGAGCCGGGGCGCATGGGGGCGCCCCGCCAAAATTTGCAGACGCAGGCGCGCGGCGGGCTAGGCGGGCGTCGCTGAGCCAAATGCTGCGGGCGCGAGCTCTGCGATCGCGAGCAAGCTAGAGCCGCCGTCAACCCCTGAACGACGGAAACTATAATAAATAAGCATACAACGAGGTCTGGGCTGCAGCCATGCCCAGATCCCCTGCCCCGGCAAACATCTAAACGGGTTCAGAATCGCTCGATGCGCGCGACCTCGATGGGGCGCTGGGGGCCCAACGAGGCCATGGCCCCTTCAATGTGGTCCCCGCGGTGGCGCCGGCATAGGGCGCTGGGCGCCTGCGTGCTCGGGCGCGCACCCGCTGTCTCCCGCGCCGTGGTTCCCAGGGGGCCCAGCAGGGCCCGGCTCGCTGCCAGGCCCACTCGGGGGCGCCGCCGCCTCAGGCGCTTTCAAGGGAGCCCGTGATTTGTGGGCTTGGGCGAGCGAGACGAGAAGCATAATTAGCTCGTGAAGGCCCTCAGGTATGCGTTCATACTGGTTCGCTCCGATTGGACCGCCTCCTCGCTCAAGTTGGTGGCATTGTTGAACGAGGATGAACGGGGGTAGCCTGGCTGGTGGCCGCGCTGATGACGTTCGTTTCGAGCTTCTTGACGGTTTCGGCAAACTGCTGCTGGTCAGCCTCCAGTTCTCTGAACCTCCTGTCGGATTGGTCGGTGACCCCTAAGACTCCAAGTTGCGGTGCCCCCACTCCTCGTCCGAGATCTCGTCGTAGCCCATCGACGCCGGCTGCTCGTTGGCGGACGGAAGTGGGGCGCCAGCGCCTTCGGCGCGTTCGGAGGCGCCCGCCACGTCGCAGTCGTCAGTCCTTTCTATGGCAAGGTCGCTGTCGCCAATGTATGCAATGGTTTCTAGTGTGATGCTGCTTCGTTTGCGCGAGCCCTGCGCGCTGCCGCCGCGGCGCCTCTTCCGCGGCGGCGGGGGTGTTCGGCGGCGGCAATGGCGTTTTGGGGCTCGGCATGGGTTTTGGCGGCGCCTCGGGGCATGGTCCGGTGACCGCCCTGCCTCGTTGCTCGTAGGAATGGCGGAGTAGTTGGCCCTGCTCACCTCGGGGGCAATCCCACAAGTTCCCCCGCTGGCGAGACGGTTGCAGACGTGCCCGAGGGGGCTCGGCTTTAGCAAGGGCGCGCCCTTAGCTTGTGACAGCGGCCCAGGGGATGGCAGCGCCTGGCGCGCGGAGCGCGGCATTCGGAAAGCGGTTGGCCGCCTTGACAATGGCAAGGTCGCCCTGCATAGTTTTGCACCAACCTGCGCGTTCGACTTTGCAGGGCCATTCGATGGTCGCCAAAACATTTGCGATTTGCGCCTCGGGGGCGCCCCGCGGCTCGGCGCCCGCGATCCGCTGCCACATTGGCGAGTGCGGGGTCGATCCCCGCAATTCCACGGCGACCTGTTCCGCCCCCACCGGCGTCTGGTTCGACGCGAATGCCCGCCGCTCGGCCCCGCGCGCCACATGCTCGGTCGATGTGTCGCGCGCCCCCTGCAGCGCGGTCTGGCGACCACCTGAGCGCCGCGCAATGGCGCCGCCGCTGGGCGGGGGCCCGCGGGCGCCATGATAGCCGACGTCAAACTGGATATCTCCTCGTCCTGCGGCGAAGACCACGGGCGCGCCAACTGGCCTGATCCCCAAAGTAGCCGTGAGATTACGCTTGCCTACTGCCGTGCCATGGCGGCCTCGGAGCTCCATGGCCTCATCAAATTGGGCGGCGCGGAAGTGGGACGTGAACATTGCTGAGGGCGTCGGGGATGCTGTTATCGAGCTGTTTGCGCGAGGCGCCCCACTTGTCTGATGAATGGCAAAATTTGGCAGTGTGTCGGGCCGCGCCTGTTGCCGTCGATGGGCGGTGGGCGATGCAGGGCCGCGAACAATTCTGCGAGCGCGAGCGCGGCGGCAATGGCGTCTGCATCGCAGAGATGCGCGCGGATCCAGACGACGTTGCCCGCCAGGTCGAGGGTGACTCGGACGGCGTTCTGGAGGCACTCATTTTTTTTCTCCCGTCCTGACTGGTCGATGGCCCCTCCTGGCGTCGGCCTGGCAGCCTTAGCCGTGCGGCCGACGACGGGCATTTGGAATTATGTTCCTGGGTAGTCGGTGCGGATGGCCCCCAAGACGACATGCGTTCGCCATCTTCGAGCGCGCGAAGTGGGATGCTGCTGGCGCGCGACGTTCCGTCGCGATCTCTGACGGGCGCGGTGGGAACAGTGGCAACGGGGACGTTACAATTCTGCATCGAGGCTGATGGGGGGGGGCGCTGCCGTTGCCCCGGTGGGCATCGGCGTCGACCGTGTCTCCTGGTGGGTCCCGTTATGAGGCCTTGGTTGTGCGTGATGGAGTAGCGCAGCATGGTGTAGCTGATCTTGCGTTCCCCGCACAATATCATTAGCTCGCCTCTAAGCCTGCGTTGGTCAAAGCGGTTGCTGGTGCATGGTATCGAGACCAGTGACCCGTGTCAGGTTTGTGAGCGAGTGCGTTGTGCGCAGCGACTGCTCGGTCGACGCCGCCGCTGCTCTGGAAGGCGGTGACGCGAACTTCCTTTCGGGGCAAATTTTTGTCGGGTGAGGTTGCCTTTTCGCTGGCCTTTGCCTGATTGCTTGGGCTGCACTAGCGCAGTGGGCGCACGGCGAGGACTTTTCGGAGCCATGGCGCGCGCGGTATTGAAGGCTTATGGCACGAATGATTCACACGCTGTGATGGCGTGTGCCCAGTTTCGCGATGCGATCAACGGAAGTGCTGGGCGCTTCGTGTCCTGGTTGCGCGCTTGGTCAGTGAACCTCGAGCCGAGACTGAAAGAGGATAGGAAAGAGAAAGGGGAGAGAAGAAGAGGAAGACGAGGAGGCGGAAAAGCGAAAGGCGAAGTCCTAGATAGAAGACCCGCGGGACGCAGGACGGCGAGCTAATGCACAAACAGAGCAGAAGCCGACCCTGGCTCACTGCGCGCTTGCCCAGGATTTCAAAATCTGACGCCAGCTCACGCCATGAATCTCGGTCAGGTGCATTATCCCTCCACTCGCTATATCCTTTATGAGTGCAGCAATTTTCTGAGAACGTGCTCAACATTCACCAGTGGTCTTCGAGACGGTCTCGCTGGCATTAACCACCGAATTAACCCTTTACTGCTGCATGCCATGACCAATTCTTCACAAAATGTTCGCTCACCCACTCCTTCACACCAACATGGTGCGCTAGCCTTCCAGCTGGCCGGGTTGCGAAGCGGAGGAGGCGGAGAAGGAGGAGGAGGAGGAAGAGAAAAAGGAGGGGGAGGAAGAGGAGGAGGAGTAGGAGGGGGCGGAGGAGGGACGGAGGCGACAAGCCAACAAAAGTTCGTCGAGACACCAACAAACAGGAAGAGAGGGAGGTAGGGAGGGTTGGACGGGCAGGAGGAGGAGAAGAAGAGGAGGAAGAAGAGGAGAAGGACAAGCTAGGTGCGCAAGCGTCTTGTCTGACGTCCTGCCCTTCCCTCCCATCCCTTCCCATGGCGTAGATCTCCTCTCGATTCGAAGTCGGATGTCGAGAAGGGCGGAACGAGCAGAACGAGCAGAAGCGCGGAAATGAGGCCCACGCGGTAGAGGGAGCACGATTCGGAACGACCAGAAGCGCGCAAATGAAGCCAGCGCTGCAGCGGGAGCACGATTCGGATCGAGCAGAAGCCCTGAAAGAAAGCCAGCGCTGCAGAGGGACCAACACTTTGGAAGAACAGGAAAAGCTCGAATGAGAATACACATACAAAAATCCAACTCGCAGGCATCCTATGCATGAGAAACAATACGCGGAGGGAAGCGCGCTCCCTCATAACGGGTCTTCGGCGGGGAGAGGAGAGTAGTTTTCATTTTGGGTATGTAACTGTGGGAGGAGTCCCAACTGAGATTCGTCGACACGTCAAGAAACAGGGAGGGAGGGAGGGATGGGGGGAGGAGAGAGGAGAATGAGGATCAGGATGATGAGAATGAGGAGGAGGAGGAGGAGGAGGAGGAGGAGGAGGAGGAGGGGGAGGAAGACGAAGACAAGGACGACGACGACGACGGCGACGCCGGCGCCGGCGCCGGCGACGACGACGGCGACGACGACGACGACCACGACGACGTCGACGACAACGACGACGACGACGACGCCGACGCCGACGCCGACGCCGACGCCGACGCCGACGCCGACGCCGACGCCGACGCCGACGCCACCGCCGTCGCCGTCGCCGACGCCGCCGCAGATGACGACAACGACAACGACGACAATGCCGACGACGACGACGACGATCAGAAGACGACGATCACACGACGACGCCGACGCCGACGCCGACGCCGACGACGATGTCGCCGACGCCGACGCCACCGCCGTCGCCGACGACGACGCCAACGAGGTCCTGCCGACGGCTGCCCCTGCACCGCGGCCGGCTCCGGCTGGCGCTGGGCGCGGGCGACCGGGGGCTCTGCGGCCTGCGTCGGCACGCTCGACCGCCCAGGGGCAAGGACGAGGCCAAGACCGGGAAGCTCCTCCCTCCTCTCTTTCCTGCTCCTCCTTCTCCTCCTCCTCCTCCTCCTCCTCCGCCTCCTCCTACCTCTCCTCCTCGTCCTCGTCCTCCTCGTCCTCCTCGTCCTCCTCCTCCTCGTCCTCCTCCTCCTCCTCCTCCTCCTCCGCCTCCTCGTACCTCTCCTCCTCGTCCTCCTCGTCCTCCTCGTCCTCCTCCTCCTCGTCCTCCTCCTCGTCCTCCTCCTCCTCCTCCTCTCCTCCTCCCTCCTCCCCTCCCTTCTCCTTCACCTCCGCCTCCTCCTCCGCCTCCTCCTCTCCTCCTCGTCCTCCTCTCCTCCTCCGCCTCCTCCTCTGCCTCCTCCTCCTCGTTTTCCTCCTCCCTCTCCTCCTCTTCGTCCCTCCCTCCTCTTCCTCCCCCTCCTCCTCCTCCTCCTCCTCCTCCTCCTCCTCCTCCGCCTCCTCCTCCTGCTCCTCCTCCTCCTCCTCGTCCTCGGACTAGGGTTGGTTTCCTCCTCCTCCTCCTCCTCGTCTGCGAGGCCGCCTACGGTCGGGAATTTTTGCTTCGCGTGTCGCGGCGGCGGCCCTGGCGACACACTATGCCCTTCGAACGGATAGCGTGTCGCTCCGCTCTGCGGGGCGGGAGGCTCGGGAAACCCGGCACGTTCGTGTCGTGACGACCCCGACGTGGGTTTCTGACACCGCGTAGACCGTTCAATCTTCAACGATCGGCAGCTTTTCGATCGCCAGATCGTTCCATATTGGCCGATTCTGGGCCACTGGCGGCGTTCAACCTTGAACGCCCGCACTGGGGTCGCAGCGCGTCGACACGACACGAATCTACCAGATCCCCTCTGGAGGACAGAAATTCAAACTCATAGTGAGCACACCGACAAGTGAAGCTTTTTGGTGCACGCACCCTAGGGAGGGATCGAGAAGGGTAGGGCTGTTCAGTGAACGCCAAGGGCTGTGTAGTAAGTGTTAACTGTGAGAGTCGGGGTAGTTTTTCCTGCCTTGACCCTCCTCCCTGCTCCCTATCCCCTCCTCCTATCGTTGCGCGCGCACCCCCTCCTCCCTCTCACCTCCCTCTTCCCCTCCTCCTTCTTTCCCTCCCTCTCTCCTCCTCCCCCTGCCTCGCTCCTCCCTCCTCCCTCCTCTCCCCTCCTCCCTCCATCCCTGCTACCTCTTCTCATCCTCCTGGGGCTCTTGGATGGGAGGCCGACCTACCTTTGTAGACTCTGTCCGTGCGCAGTGCTGTCTCGGTTGTGCCAAACTTTTCGCACGTGCGTTCCAGCCACCGTTGTCAGGCAAAGGGTCACAGAGTGCGCACGCGCGAAGCACCTCGGCAAACAACACATCCTCCCTCCCCCCCTCCCCCCTCCACCCCTCCTCCATACCCTCTCTTCCCTCCTCCCTAGCCCCGCCTCCCGCGGCGACCTCGGAACCCCAAACACCGAGGCGCTGAGCGCGCTGGCGGATGCCGCCGCAGGTGGCGCTACTCCGCAAGAGGGGGCCGGAGGCCCCCCAGAGCATGCGCATGGGACCCAAGGGCCCCCCGGAGCAGGAGCAGGAGGAGGGGGAAGAGGAGGCTCGGCGAGTCTTCATGGGAGCCTCCGTGGACCTCCGCGGCCCGATCATGAACGTGACTTCTACTGGAGTTCGTCCAGAGTTCGACCGCCCCTCTCCGCCCTTTCGTCCAGGTTTCGTCCAGATGCCGACCAAATCCGACATCTAAACGAAATCACCCAAGCCGCAAGGAATTTTGGGACCCTCCGAGGCTCCCATGAAGGACCACACGAGGGGTGGGATGGAGAGGAGCGGTCCGGCGCGCGCACTACTTGAATCACTCGTGAGCTTGACAGTCTTGAGCGCAGAATCTCTGACGCGTGCACCCAAAAACCAAAGAGTACACATGTAGATTCCAGGAGGCACCGAGGATTTGGGGGCTGGAGGTGAGAAGCGCAGAGGAGGGGGGCAGGACAGAGGGCCCCTGGCCTTCTCGGGCGGCCGCCCTCCCACCACTCTGAGACGAGGCCGGGACCGGGTCAACATCTGTCATGTCGGGACTCTCTGAGGTGCGGCGGTTCTGGAGGGTGTGCCGTCGAGGCGGATCGGAGAGGACACGCGAGAGGACACGAAGCCCTTCCGAGGACCACGTTGCCATAGGAATGTGGGAGGCACGGGTCGCGAAATACAGGACACCAGGGTACTCTTGATTTGGCAGGGTCGACCTGCTAACCAACCCCGACTGTATCGGGTGCCGCGGCAGTCCAAGAGCGCCCTGGAACGCTCTGAGACTGATCGCGGAGACGTCGGTATCGATCTTGGTCGTCGTCCATCTTGGTCATCGCCCTTTCGTGGATCATCCTCGCAGACCGGCGACGGCCAGCATGGACCATGACCACGATCGGCGTCGACGGGACCCCGCGACAAGGCCCGAGCCAGCGGCCCAAGCCCGAGCCCGAGCCCAAGCCCGACCCAAGCCTGAGCCTGAGCCCGAGCTCAAGCTCAAGCTCGAGCCTCGGAGCGCGCCCGATCCCCAGCCCGAACTCAAGCTCGAGCCCAAGTACTGACCCGAGCCAAGGTCCGAGCAGAGCACGTGCCCGGGTTTAGACCAAAGCCCGAGATCACCCGGGTGACTCCAACCTAAGACCCATGGAGGCCCAACCGGAAAGAAAAAAAAAATGGGGCGCGCCGAAGAACCCAGGGGGTCCGGTTTCCGCGGAGGAAAGAAAAAAACCCTGGCGATGGGGTTCGAGCACGGGGGTTACCCTCCCCTCAAATTCCGGAAGAGGAATGAACTCCCAGCCGCGGGGGTGCCCGCGCGAGGGGTCCCACCCCCCCAAGCGCAACCAGAGGAAGAAAAGCGTGAGAGCCGAGACTGTAAGTGCAATGCAACAACACCTTAATCGCGGTTGCACTAGGGATTTGTATTAGTACGGGAACAACTGAATTACAGCCGGTGAGGTTTGGGTTCGGGTTCGGGCTTATATATTTGGAACCCAGTATATTGGAAATGCAATATTTGGAAATTCAATATATTGGAAACCCACTATATTGGAAACCCAATATATTCGAAACCCAATATTAGAAACCCGATATATTGGAAACCCAAAATATTGGGAACCCAATATATTAGGAACCCAATACATTGGAAACCCAATATATTGGAAACCTAATACATTGGAAACCCAATATATTTGAAACCCATTATATTGGAAACCCAGTATATTGGAAACCCAATATATTGGAAACCCGTGCTCTCTAGGAACAACTGCGCGATAGGACATGATAGTACCAGTTGTACTCAAGTACGAGTTGTACGGTAGTCGGAGGGGTTCAGGGGTTCCAACGGCAACGCGCGCGGGGAAGAAGGAATGCGCCGCCAGGGGTCCCGGGTTTAACGGGTCGCCGCGAAGGTTGACCCCCCGCGGAAAGAAGAAAAGAAATCCGGCCGGGGGGTTGGGGGGTTGAGGGATGAGTCACGGGGGCGATAGCCCGAGGCCCATGAGCCGAATCGGCGGAAATCGGCAGTCGAGATCGACTCGACTCGAATCGGAGGAATCGAAACGAGCCCTGCCCTGGTCGCGGTCACCGTGTCTCTTCCCTCGACTCTCGCGCCGCCCGTGCCCAGGAGCGCTCCTCGGGAGGCGTGCGCGGACAGGCGCCCGCCGTGTGCCTGCGCCAGCTCCCGACCAGGCCTCCCCTGGGCCCAGGGGCGGGGCCCATCCCCCCACAGACGAAGCCAGGACGAAGATCAAATCGGGTGCGGATACATCGAGAATCTCCGAATTCCGGCGGCTCTGGAACACGGCTTGGGCGCCGCGGCCTTCCCAGAGCATTCTGGAACGCTCTGAGAGCGTCCCGGAGCGCACTTGAACGCATCTATCCTCGTCCTTGCCCCGTCTGGCCCACCTCTTGGATGGGTGGCTAGCTGGTAGAGTCAAAACTGACAGTAGGGATGCGCGATAAGGATGCCAGCCCCTTGGATGCCCATGTCGAAGCTTTTCGAACGGGGCTGGCAATCGAAAGGGGTTCAGGATGGACCGAGGAGGCAAGGATGACAGGGTACCCTTGGGAAGGTGACCCATCTTGCAATCGGTCTCGATTGCAGTGCATGTACACAGGTCCCGTGCCTCGGATTGGCCTGGTCGGCGTCGGTGTACAGCCATCGTGCCACCAGAAGGAACGCGGAGTAAGGAACGGAGAGGCTTTTCTGGGGCCACGATCCATAGGTTCCCCCATCTAGACCTGAGCAGCGACCCGAAAATCAGAGCCCCTCCTGAATCCAAAGCGGTTCTTACGTCAGCGTCTGGACTGTAGGTTCAGAGTATAGACGCCCACTGAACGAGGCCGACTCCGTTCTCGCAATCTTCTGGCCGCCCAGTATCGGGGCCGAAGACCGCTGTCTCCCACGACAAGAGCTGAGCTATGCGATGGGAGGCGTGGGCTTGCTGTCGCCAGTTTCAAGAGGCGGCCTGTGACTTGGGATAGCCCTGCTTCGGTCAGCCAGGAAGGCGGCTTCAGATGTGCAGCCAAAGGGCGGGTGCTTGACAGGAAGATCCTGGCCGTGAGCGGGGGGGAACGGCCCCGGATACAGCAGGCTCAGACTCGCGCCCCACCACCCCTTCACTTCATTCTCCTCTTCCTCCCCCCTTCTCCGTGGAACAAGCTTACATTGAAATGCTGGAGCGTACCATCTCCTCGGGCTACAAGGGGTGATGTGATGGGGGGGAGGGTAGTCTTTCTCAGGCTGGCGATGGGCAGTCGCCGTACTCCGATACGCCCTTTGTATCCCCCCCGTCCTCCCTGCCGCCCCCCCACCCCTCCTCCCCCTCCTCCCCCTTCTCCCCCGCTCGCTCCTTTGATGCTGCTGCCCACCTCCTGCTGCGCTGCGCACCAAGACTGCTCCGACTCGCAGGGTGCTTTTCAATTGACTGCTCCTCCTCCTCCTCCTCCTCCTCCTCCTCCTCCTCCTCCTCCCCACCCATAATATGATCATCAGAACTCGTATCATCCTTCTCCTCCTCCTCCTCCTTCTCCTCCTCCTCCTCCTCCGCCTCCTCCTCATCCACCTCCGCCTCCTCCTCCTCCGCCTCCTTCTTCTCCTCCTCCTGATCCTCCTCCGTCACCTTTCCTCAGAAACAACTCCTCCCTGTCGCACCCCGAAAAGTGTCGGTAGGGCGGGCTGGGCGTTTCGCCTGAGGCTTCCTCACCACGCATGACCCTTAAAGCTTAGAGTGCGCAACAGCTTCACGGATGGAGGGCGGGTGGTTTTCAACATGTGACTCTCGTCGGAGCGCCGCGCACATTCGTTAAACAAAGGCAAGGGCTTCGCGGACGGAGAGCGGCTGGTGTTCAACATGTGGCGCTCGCCTGCAGAAGTTTCACGGATGGAGGGCGGCTGGTTTTCAAAATGTGGCTCTCGCCTAAGCGCCGCGCCCATTCGTCTTAAAAGTTTGACACTAAGCTTCACGGATGAAGGGCGGGCGGTCTTCAAAATGTGGCTCCCGCCTCAGCGCCGCGCACATTCGTCTTCAGAGTTTACAGCAGTTTCAAACCTGATCGGACAAGAACGGGAAGCGCCGATGTTGTCACTTGGGCTCGCAGGGGGACAAGCAGAAAGGGGTGATGGCGAGGATACGGCGGCGGATGACGAGGATGACAGCGTGGATGACGGGGAGCGCAGCGAGGGCAGCAGGAGGACAACGAGTGGAAGAACCCCCTGAAATAACACAAGCCTCGCAGGGGGCGTTTTGGAGCCTCTTGGGGCATCTTTTGTGCCTCGTGGGGGCCGTTTTGGTGTCTCTTTTGGGCCTCTTGGGGCCTCCTGGGGACTCTTGGGGCGGAAAGCTCGAACTGTCGGTTCGTGTTCCCCCTCTTTGGCCCAAGAGGCCCCCAAGAACGAGAGGCCCCCAAGAGGCCTGAAAGAACGGCCCCAAAGAGGCGTTCAAACTGCTTCCAAGAGGCCCCCGAGCTTCCCACGAGGTCCCAGCGAACATCCAATAGGCTTCACACGCACAACCTCGGCACGGTGGCGGATTGGGCCGAAGGCCATTCGATATTTGTATGGCTGACGTCCCAGAAGTGGTGCCTTGGTACGATGTAGGACTGTCAAGGCGCGAAAATCACGTTGATTCGCTGTGTTGAAATCCCAGGAACGGCATTCTGGCACGATTCCTGATCGTCAGGATGCAACAGTTACGTTGATTCGCGGCGTTGAAGTCCCAGGAATGGTGTTCTGGAACGGTTCAGGATTGTCAGACGGTTGTCTTCCAACGGGGCACTTTCCTCAGCGAAAATGAATCCTTGTATTGGCCAATGAAGAGGGAACTTGGAGGGACAGTTTATTGCAACATCGTTGATGGGTCTCTGGTTTGCACTGGTCCTCTGTTCCCTACCTAGGCTCTGCCTAGAAAGGTTCTTACTCTCTTAGCTTAAAGGGGCCGGGCAGTGCAAAGCGCCCCGGGCGGTTCCCCCAGTCCCCGCCCCGCGGTTCCCCCCAGTCCCCTGGGAGCTTTAGCTTTAGCTTTAGCTTAGCTTTAGCTTTAGCTTTAGCTTTAGCTTAGCTTTAGCTTAGCGTTTCGCTTAGCTTTTCGCTTAGCGTTTAGCTTAGCTTTAGCTTTAGCTTAGCGTTTCGCTTAGCTTTAGCTTAGCTTTAGCTTAGCTGTAGCTTAGCTTTAGCTCAGATTTAGCTTAGCTTTAGCTTAGCTTTAGCTTAGTTTTAGCTTAGCTGTGGCTTAGCTTTAGCTTAGCTTTAGCTTAGCGTTACTGTTACTACTAATGCTGCTTTCCTAGGGGTTCCAACTCCTAGGTAGGGTCGCACTGGGATAATTATTTCTTATCCTTATTATTATTATTATTCTTATTAGTATGTGTCTTATTATTCTTATTCCTCCTCCTCCTCCTCCTCCTCCGCCTCCCCCCATTTCCTCGCATTCTCGGAGCGGGGCGAGTTGAGACAACAGCAGCTCAAAATCTGTCCTCATCCCCCTCCTTGGGGCAAAGCGCACCAATTTTCCACGCTGCGTCCAGCCGTGGCGACGAGCCCCCCACCCCCCCCAAAAAAGCCAAGTACCGCTGACTCAGCTCGCCCTCCTCTGAGATTTCCCTCTGGTAAGGATTTGGATTGCGCGAAAACAAGACAGCCCTCCCAGGTAGTCCCAGCTGGCCTCAACAGGTCCCCGAGTAGTCCAAACTGGCCTTAACAAACCCCACGAGCAGTACAGGGCGGTCTCATCACTTCAACCTGGGCGCGGAACGCCCCAGAAGCACCGCTGGAGGCGGCGCCAGGGGGCCTGTTGAGGTCAGCTGGGGCTACTCGGGGGTCCTGTTGAGGCCAGCTGGTGCCACTTGTGGGGGCTGCCTGTGCGCAACCCGAAGCCTCACCGTATTCGTATCCGCGGCCTCGCAAGCAGGGCACGGCCCCTGGTCCGCGACCCCGTGGATACGCTGCGTTTTTTCGCGGATGCCCCGCACGGAACGAATCCGTACGACTGCGTATCCACGGGACCGCACCCCAGAATCAAGACCGCGAGGGAACGGATAAGGATATGTCTGCCGCTCGTGAACTCCAATGTCTGCCCAGGAGGAGACGCATGTTCAGGCCAGCTGGGACGACTCGGGGGGTCCGTTGAGCCCAGCTGGGACTGCCTGCTACCTGGGGGGATGCCTCACCATCCCCCTCCGCTCTAATATCCGCCCAGGAGGATGGAGGGTAAGACAACGGGGACCGTGACCAAAACTGAACGCGGAAACGTCGTGTCGATCTTGGTCACTGTTTACTCTGATCAACGTCATTTCGTGGATCATCCTCGCGACAGGGCGACGGCCAACATGAACCATGACTAAGATCGGTATCGGCAAGATCCCACGACGTCTTGATCATGGTCCCCGTGTTTAAATGCCTCCTAAATGAGGTCCGAGTACGTAGAAGGGGTCCGGTCGGAGGGTCGCGCCGCATCGCCGATGCATCGGCGACGTCGGCAGTGCATTCGCGACGACGGCGTGGAGGAAATCGGGCTTCATATCGAATCGCATCGCCGATGCGTCGGCGATGCGGTGCGGTCTTCCGACCCCTTCTACTCGGACCCCATCTGAAGGCCTGGGTATGCTGGCGGCGCGCACAAGCTGGTAGGGCGCGGGGGGACGGCTTCTTAGAAGCAGGGTTGCTTCTGAGAAGCCTTCCCTCCTCCCTCCCACCCCCCTCTGCGCGTGGCTGGGCACTCCCTCCCAGGAGGAGGCGCCTGGTGCTGCTCAGGGCCGCGCGCCCGCTGCTTGAGCTGCCCGCCGCCGTCGGCCGCCGCCGCAGCCTCTGGCCGCCGCGGCGCGCGGGGCGGGGCCTGCAACCGGCGGGGGCCCACGCTGGGCGTGGCGGCCGCGCCGGGCGCGGGCGGCGGCTGCCCCTTCGGCGCGGGCGACGGCTCCGCCACCTCGGGTTTTGTTCGTCGTCGTCGTCGTCGTCGGCGCGGGCGCCGGCTCCGCCACCACGGGGCTGCTCCTCCCTCGCTCGGGGTTGCTCGTCGTCCTCGCTCTCCTCCTCCTCCTCCTCCTCCTCCTCCTCCTCCTCAACCTCCTCCTCCTCTTCCTCCTCCTCCCCGTCCTCCTCCTTCTCTTCCTCCTCCTCCTCCTCCTCCTCCTCCTCCTCTCCTCCTCCTCCTCTTCCTTCTCCTCCTCCTCCTCCTCCTCCTCCTCCTCCTCCTCCTCCTCCTCCTCCTTCTCTTCCTCCGTCTTTCGCCTCCTCCTTGCTGGGAACGACCATGGGGACCAAGTGTCGGGATACACACGCGGGGGGGGGAGAGGGGCAACGAAAGTTAAACTCCTTGGTCGTCTCATGTCGTCTCCTGTCTCCTTGGTTCCCGCGAAAAAACGGTCCAGGGGGGCCAGAATGTGCAAAAGGTCAAGTTCAGCCTCTGGAATCATCCCGTCCCAAGCCTCCGAGACACCTTCGAGGTTACTGGTGTGGCAATACAAAGCGTGGGTGGCCTACTCTGCCGGGCTGCGTGTACTCGTCACCCTGAGCCGTCTCCCTTCCAGGACAATTATCCGAAGCGACATTGAGAACCTGCGTCGGGGATGAAATTTGAAACACCAAACGAGCTGAATGCAGGCAATGTGACCAAGTTCTGGGACGTCCCATATCTTTGCTAATGTATATTACTGTCTCTGGGGGCGACGCTTCGTGGCTGAAAACGGAGCAGACTCCAGCAGCACTAAAACGGGGCACATATCTGACTGTGCTCAAAACTTGTGTAGGCAAAATTGCAAGACGATGTGCTATGATATCAGGGTCAGTTTCTACTCTGAACTGGCTGGCCTGAAAATCAGTGGCAGCCTGTACCTAAACTCCTCACAAGCTGGGCCCTATGTGCGATAGTGGCGGGAAATCTCCAAAGACTGCATATCTACCTTTTGATGCCTCCTCCTCCTCCTCCTCCTCCTCCTCCTCCTCCTCCTCCTCTTCCTCCTCCTTCTCCTCGGGGCTGCCCCCCCCTCCCTCTCCTCCGGGCTCCCAGGGGGGGGGGCGGGCGGGGCGGGGTCGCACATCGAGGACGTAATGTCCGTTGGGCTGGGGCTCGGGGGTGCGGCGGCCACGCCAGGCGTGTGAGGCGGCTGCCCCGCCCCGCCCCCTTTCGGGGGCTGCCGGAGGCGCCCCTGGCCCGAGGTGCCCCCCGCGTCCCGCTCTATTCTGGAGCCCCTGGCGCCCTCTGGGCCTCGTGAGGGGTGCGCTGGAGGCCGTGGGGGCCTCCTTGGAAATCCAGGGACACCTTGGGCCAGCGGCACATCTGGCAGCACTCGGGGGCGTCCAAGGGGCGTCCAAGAGAGGAGTTCGCAGATTTCAAATCATGACCCGAGGCAGGCGAGCGGCCCAGGGGGAGGGGGGGGTGCAGAGGACGCACTGCAGTAAGAAGAGGCGCCATGATTTCTGGCGAGACATCATGGCCCTGGGCATCAATTCCCCCCCTAGTAGTCACCCTCTTTGGCCGTCCCCGAAAAATGTTTCGGTCTGCGGCGACTTGGCTCCAAGCCGCGGACGCACCGGCGCCGAATGGGGCACAACAGGGGAAGGAAGGGAAGGGAAGACCACGCGAGTAGAGGAAGGGAAGCAGCGGGCAGCGCAGCACGCTCAGAGCGTGAAATTACTGTGCGTATGTGCCAGAGCACAAGCTTACACGGACGGCAGAGTGGTGAGGCGTCCAGTCGCCCCCGACACACCCGACTCTCTCTCTCTCTCTCTCGGGGCTGCCCCTCCCTTGCTCGGGGTTGTTCGACGTCGTCGTCGTCGTCGTCCTCCTCCTCCTCCTCCTCCTCCTCCTCCTCCTCCTCCTCCTCCATCTCCTCCTCCTCCTCCTCCTCCTCCTTCTCCTCCTCCTCCTCGGTGCAAACTCGCCCCCCTCGCTCTCCTCCGGGATCCATGGGCGCGCATCGAGGACGCAGCCTCCGCCGGGCGGGCCCTGGGCGCTGCAGGCCGCTGCCCCCTCCTCGGGGGGGCAGCGGCCTCGCGCGGCGCCGACCCCGCCGCTGGCGTTCGGGAGTGAACGCCGCCGGGCGTCTCCGCCCGGTCTCGGGCCCCCGGGCCAGCACAGGCCGATCCGGCGGAAACTGCGGCAGGCAGATGGGGTTCTGGCCATGACTTGTTTCGGTGCTGCCACGTTTTCGCAACGCCGCATCTCAGAGGAGGATGAGGGTGACGACGAAGGAGGCCCTGACTCCGGCTCCGCCGCACCCTTCTGTTCAAGCTTCTTGGACGTCGATTCCCACCCTACTCTGCCCGTCGCTGTTCCCGAGGTAGTTGCCTTTGCGGAAGTACCCACCCTACTTTCTGGGGAGGAAATGTCCGCGCTACATTTTCGCATCGTTGGGGCTGCATTTCTGACACCCATCGAAATCGCAAAATTACCCAAAAACCAGCGGATCTGGAATCGGGGCACTCTCTCTCCTCAGGGCTCCCAGGGGGGGGGGATCACATCGAGGACGCAATACCCGTTGGACAACGCCAGCCGTCAAAATCCATACTGGTCCATACCCAGGTCCCAATTGGGTGTAGAGCGGCCGAGAGAACGCGCGCGCGAGAGAGAGAAATTTCCAATCCCCAGCTGCCAGTGCCGATGACTGGGTGTGAACTGTGAACTACCCTACCGCCCAGGTCCATACCCATGCCGAGGCCCCATACCTGTGTCTCTACACTCGCCGACCGAGGGCCCAGACAACGACTCCATGGGTGCGGATGCGCCTCTTCTCGACGAGCCGCGCTGGTCTCTGACCACTCAGAAATCGAGCTCATATCTTATACGTGTGTATATTTGTATGTATATGAATGCATATATATATATACATATACAACAAAGTGACTGTAGTGGTGTGTAAATGTTTGTATGTAAGTATGTATGTATGTATGTATGGATGCATGTAGGTCTGCATGGTTGTATGTATGTATGTAGGTATGTAGGTGTGTATGCATGCATGTATGTATGCATGTGTAAGTAACTGTGATTGTAAATGTATGTGTGTATGTGTGCGTATGTGTGTATATGCATATGTATGCGTATGTGTGAGTGTGTATGTGTGCATGTGCGTATGTGTGTGCATATGTGCATGTGTGTATGTGTGCATGTGTGCATGCGTGTATGTGTATGTGTATGTGTATGTCTATGTCTATGAGTATGTGTGTTTATAGGTATACCTGCATATGTGTTTATGGTTACGTACTTCAGTGTGTATGTGTGTGCGTACGTATGCATGCATGCATGCATGCATGTATGTATGTATGTATGTATGTATGTGTGTATGTGTGTATGTACATGCATTCATGCATGCCTGTCTGCATGTGTGTATGTGTATGTGTATGTGTATGTGTACGTGTGTTTCTAAACATGTGTGTATGCATGTATGTATGTATGTATATATATGCTTGTGTGCATACATGTCTGCATGCATGTATGAATGTATGTGTACATATACAAGTGTATGTATGTATGCATATCGGCATGCATGCATGCATCTAGGTATGTACATATGCATGTATGTAAGCGTGTGTGTACGTGCATATATGTGTATGTGTATGTGTGCATGTCTGTATACATATCTGTACGTCTGTATGCCTGTATGTCTATATGTATGTATGTCTGTCTGCCTGCCTGCCTGTCTGTCTGTCTGGCTGTCTGTGCATGTATGTAAGTATGTGTATGTATGCGCGTATGTATGTATGTATGTATGTATGTATGTATATGCACATGCATACATATACACACATACATACATACATACATACGTACGTACATGCATACATAACATAACATAACATAACATAACATAACATCACATCACATCACATCACATAACATAACATACCATACACACATACATACATACATACATACATACATGCATGCATGCATGCATGCATGCATGCATGTATACACATACAGGCATGCATGGATACATACATACATTCATGCAAACACCCCCCACCCACACACACACACATATACATATATATACACACACGTATATATATATAGGGAGAGAGATATACACTGACATGCAAGACATATCCGCCACCGTGCCCACGAGGCACAAGTGGGAATATTTGAATCCCCTCAATCCTCAACCGTGAATCCTGAGGGTTCTGTCAAGGGCCCGGGCCCGAAACTGCCGAATCGGCCGGGTCGCATCGGGTGGCCCCTGGGGCGTGTCGCGTGGGCCTTGGGGCCCGGGGCGTCTTCTCGCTTGACTTCTTCGGGCCCAAGAGGCCCTGGGACGGGCCAAGAGGGCCTCGAATCGCCGCACGATCGGTCCAAGACGCTCAAGATGATCTTCAGTTGGCCGAAAAAGCGCCCAAGACGTCCCAAGAGGCCTCCAACAACCTTCCCAAGAGGGCCCTGAGAGGCCAACATTGTTAATTTCCCGTGTTTTTTTAATGTTTTTAGCTTTCTCGCCCTTGCGGCTTTCCGACGCTCCCAGACGCCTCAATAGGCTTCCAAGATCGACCTAAAAGGCCTCCAAGAGGGCTCCAAAACGGCCCCAGGAGGCCCCAAGACGGCACAAGAGGCCTCCAAGACGGCTCGAGAGGCCCCCAAGACGGCTCCAAGAGGGAGCCCAGACTGGGGACCCGAACGGACATTTCGAGCCTTTGGCCCCGAAAGGCCCCAAGCAGGCCCCAAGAGGCCTCCAAGAGGCCCCAAAGAGGATCCAAGAGGCCTCCAAGAGGCCCCCACATGTTCACAAGAGGCCCTAAAACTGTTCCCCAAGAGGCCCCCGAGAGCGCTCCGAAGAGACCCCAAGAAACATCCTTGAGGACTCAGACCCACAATCCAGGCACGGTGGCGGGATGGGCCGAATACCATTACAAAGTCAGATGCATATACATACACACGTATACACATATACATATAGACATACAGACATACAGACATTCTGACAAAAAAAGACATACATCCATCCACCCATCCATCATATCGACCGACAGACAGATAGACAGACACACAGATAGACAGACAGACAGACAGACAGACAGACACATAGACAGACAGACAGGCAGGCATATATATATATATGTGTATATACATGTGGCTTGGTGGTTTGGGGGTGCAGGGGGACCATACGTATATGCATACATACATACATGCATACATACATACATAAAAACATACATGCATGCATAAATACATACATACAGGCACATACATACATACATACATACATACATACATACATGCATGCATGCATGCATGCATGCATGCATGCATACATTACTTACTTAATTACTTACTTACTTACTTACATACATATATACACACATACATACACACATATATATATATATATATGTGTGTACATGAATTTCTTCCACCGTACCGCTCAGCACGGAGTGAATGGGCGTGTCCTCAGCTCAATCCTGTGACTGCTCCCTTACGATCAACCCGTATAGTAAGGATGCGCGGTATGGATGCAAGGACCTTGGAGGGCCATGCCTTCCGACCCTTTGCGGGCGGGGCGCGGCCAGCGGAAGCGGCCAAGGATGGGCCGAAGGGGAAGCGTGCAAAGGTAACCTTGGAAAGTCGCTCACCCTTACTATGTGGGTTGACTGCAGGCCCAAGAGGGTCCCAAGACGGCAAAGAGGGCCTCAAGAGGCCCCCAAGACGGTCCAAGCGGGCCCCGAGACGCCCAAAGATCGCACCAAGACGCCCAAGACGGTCCCAGGATGGCATAAGACGCCTCCGGGACGCCCCAAGAGAGCCCCAAGAGCCTTCCCAAGAGGGCCCCGAAAAGGCAAAATCATTAATGTTCCATAGGTTTTTCACTAATTTTGGGATCCTCGAGCTCCCGACGCTCCACGACGGTCCAAGAGGCCCCCAGGACCGCCCCAAGACAGCCCCAAAAGGGGGAACACGAACCGAAAATCCGCGTCTTCTGCCCCAAGGGGCCCCCAGGAGGCACCAAGGACTTCTAAGACGCCCCACGACACCCCAAAACGACCTTCAAGAGGCCTCGAAACGGCCCCCGAGAGGCCTCCCGCAACATCCCAACGCTCATCCCAGAGGCCAATGACCCACAACCCAGGCACGGTGATGGGATGGGTCAAAGGCCATTAATGTAATATTAGATCGATAGCTCGATAGATCGATATATATATATATATATACATATATATATACACATGCATACATACATACATACATACATACATACAGACAGACAGACAGACAGACAGACAGACAGACAGACAGACAGACAGACAGACAGACATACATACATATATACATGCATGCATGCATGCATACATACATATATACATAAATGCATATATATATATATATATGTGTGAATGTATAGACAGACCTCTCTCTCTCTCTCTATATATATATATATATATATATAGGGACGAAAATTGCAGTACCCATGGCGAAGCTTACGACGAGATTATGGCTACTCCTCGGAGTCCGCACAGCGCAATGCACGTGCATCGAAACACTGAAATTGAAGGGCGGAAGGGTGTCGGTCTCGCAGAGAATTGATGGTCTGCCTGTTCCTCCCCGAGAGGGGGCACGGGTCTGCCACGTATTTCGGCCTGCTGCGCCTTATCGTGCTAGAAACGGGCGGGGCTCCAGGGCCGGCCAGACCGGACAGGCGGGTCCCCGTCAAGAAACCGCGGCAGGATAACCAAACGTCAAAAATCACCGCGAGGGGGGGGGGAAGCGGCAAGGAGCGGCAAGGTCGGCGGCACGCCCACCTGGGGAGGCAGAGGGAGGCGGGCCTTCTCAGCAGGCTCAGGAGGCCCCTGGCTTTCTGAGGAGAATTCTCGGCCCTCCCCGAAGCCACGGAGGGCTGAGAAGGCCAGAGGGCTTCTGAGAAACCCCGCCGCCTTCAGAGAAGGCCTGGCCTCCCTCTCACCTTCCCACCTCGGCGTCCCCCCACGGACGCCCCCCCCCTTCTGCGGTTGGCGTTGGAAAGATAGCGTGCGCCCTCGACCTCCGAGAAGCACGCTAGTATAAACATCCCCGTGAGGCGACCCCTCCGTGCGAGGGCCCCCTCTGCGCACGCTGCCCCCCTGCCAAGGCTTCTTCGGTGCATGGGCTGGGCTGTTCACAATAAGTTCTAAATCTACGGACTTGGACTTAGGTTCCAGGCGTGTCCCCCTACAGGGGGATTTTCGACGAAAATTTAAAGATACGCAACAAATACTCAAAAAAAAGCATTGTTTTAAGTCACGAGACTACTTCTTGATTATGTTTGAACATTCTCCCTGTAGAGGGACAGGCCCGACTTAAACTTAGACTCACATTGTGGGCGTTAGAAATGAGAACTTACACATGCCAATGAGGTCAAGCGTCCTTCGGGTCACGGGCACCAAGACGGTTGTCGGGGTAGGGCTCGGCTGTCGAACTTGTGCAACCTTTCGGGTGGAAATCCGACGATTTGTGCAACCTTTTTAATTGGGAACCGATGAGCTGTGCAACCTTTTTAATTGGGAACCGATGAGTTGTGCAACCTTTTTCGTTTTCTCGGGTTGGGGTCGGTTTCCAACTTGGGCAGCCTTTTTCACTGGTGAGTCGTGCAAGCTTTTTCGTTTTCTCGGGCGGGGGTCGGTTTCCGAACTTGTGCAGCCTTTTTTGATTGGGAACCGATGAGTTGTGCAACCTTTTTGACTGGGAACCGATGAGTTGTGCAACCTTTCTCGTTTTCTCGGGTTGGTTTCGGTTTCATCGGTTCCCAATCAAAAAGGCTGCACAAGTTCGGAAACCGCCCCAAACCCGAGAAAACGAAAACGGTTGCACAACTCTTCAGTTCCCGATCGAAAAGGTTGCACAACTCATCGGTTCTCAATCAAAAAACTGCACAAAGTTCGGACACCGACCCCAACCCGAGAAAACGAAAAAGGTTGCACAACTCCTCAGCTCCCGATCGAAAAGGTTGCACAACTCATCGGTTCCCAACCAGAAACGCTGTACAAGTTCGGAAACCGACCCCAACCCGAGAAAACGAAAGAGGTTGCACAATTCATCGGTTCCCAATCAAAAAGGTTGCACAACTGTTCGGTTTCCAATCAGAAAGGCTGTACAAGTTCGGAAGCCGACCCCAACCCGAGAAAACGAAAAAGGTTGAACAACTCATCGGTTCCCAATCAAAAAGGTTGCACAACTCATCGGTTCTCAATCAAAAAAGCTGCACAAAGTTAGGACACCGACCCCAACCCGAGAAAACGAAAAAGGTTGCACAACTCTTCAGTTTCCAATCAAAAAGGTTGCACAACTCATCGGTTCCCAACCAGAAACGCTGTACAAGTTCCGAAACCGACCCCAACCCGAGAAAACGAAAAAGGTTGCACAACTCATCGGTTCCCACTCAAAAAGGTTGCACAACTCATCGATTCTCAATCAGAAAGGCCGCACAAGTTCGGAAACCAAGCTAACCCCGAAGAAACGAAAAAGGTTGCACATATCGAAAAAGATTGCACAACTGTTCGGTTCCCAATCAAAAAGGCTGCGCGAGTTCGGAAACCGACCCCAACCCGAGAAAACGAACAAAATTGCACAACTCATCGGTTCCCAATCAAAAAGGTTGCACAAGCAGAAGTGCCCGGTCGTACGCCTGCGCGAAGTTACGTAATTTACGGGCCGGGCGCTGATTCACGGTATTCTGTAATGTACGAAATTAAACTTCGATCGCGGGGGCGTTAGCATCCCAAGGCGGAGGCTAGCGTGTCAAGTGCACCAGCCCCCCGTGCCTGACGCTGCCTGCGCACTCCTCGTGGCGAGTATTATCAACGCGTGGGGCCTCCTCCCGCGTTCCTCCTCCGCGGCCGCCCTCTTCTTCCCCTCGTCGTCTTCGCGTGCCCGCCGCTCTGGCGCGACCCGCCGGTGGGGGACATCGTATAATCAGCAGGCCGGCGGCGCCACCTCGCTCGGGACATAGCTCGGGTCTCTCCAGCGGCCGCTCGGGGACCCCCAGAACGCCCTCGGCGAGGCGCGGATGCTGGAGAGAAGGGGCTGGGACACCTCTTGGAACCGACAACGACGTCTCAAAAAAGATAAGCTTGTTTGCAGTCGCTTGGGACCGAGTCTCAAGCGAAAAGAGGAAGGCGACGCGTTTTGCCCCCCAGGGGCTCTTCGGGCCAAAGTGCCTGCGGCGCAGCATCGAACGACCATCGTCGACGATGGGACTGGACGTGGGGCGGAGAGACGCAATGCACAGTGGGTGTTCCGAGCAAAAAACAGCATGCCCACCCACCCTGCCCGCAGATCGAGGCGAGTTGTACGCGCGGAGCCCAAAAACATAAAACCCACATCTAAGGCCCATGCACGCGACGCGACCAGACACAGATCCCCTGCACTCCCACCGCCAATCTCTTTTTTTTTTTTTTTTTTTTTTTTTTTTTTTTTTTTTTTTTTTTTTTTTTTTTTGGGGGGGGCCTGGGATATCGTGTAATGAACGGGCCGGCGGCGCCGCGTCGCACGCTGTCCTTCCAGTGCCCACCGCGCGGCCCGGGGCCTCGATCTCGCCGACCATGTCCTGCTGGGAAGGGTGCGAGCGGACGCCGGTCCTCCCATCCCCCTGTGGGCGGAGGAGGAGGGAGGAGGAGGAGAGCGGAGGTGTGTGTGTGTGTGTGTAAGTGTGTGTGTGAGTGTGTGTGTGTGTGTGTGTGTGTGTAAGTGTGTGTGTGTGTGCGCGACGAGGGGCATGGCGCAAGGCGTGCTCCGATGGACACGGGAAGGCCCCCTGGGGGGGCAGAGCATCATAAAAAAACACCTGATGAGAGGTGCCAGGAGGGGGGCACAAGCAAATTGAGCCCTCGGGGAGAGCGAATGGGGGCGCCCCAAGACGAGAGAGCCTCCACAAACGCTACGCGCCCCTCAGCCACACTCTGAACGAAGGGCAAGACAGACCGAATCAGGAGGGCGACCCTTGTAGAGAGGAGACCGCTGGACACCGTACTTCTTGTACACCTTGAAGTAGAGCGTGTCCTCCGAGCCCTTGCACTGAGTCAACCGGGAGTCGATCCTGAACAAAGAGTCGGGGTCGTACTGCGAGAGGGTGTCAGAGATTCTTCGCTGGCAGATCCTGTGGCGCTCTCCAAATCGTGCCGAAGCTGTCGGCGGCGGCTGCGGCATGTCGGGCGAGGTGGGGGCTGCCGCCGCCCGAATGCAAGCAGTGCTTGGCCAAATACGCGACGTCCTTGATCCAAGGCGCACGGCCCACGCGCGCACAATAGCCCAGTCGCCGAAAAACAGCGCGTGTGAGCCTCGGGGAGGGTCCTGGATCTGCCTCGTGAGGACGGCCAGCCGGAGCATGCCAGGAGCGAAGGCGGCGGCCGGCGCACATGGCAGCTGTCCCGATGGACTGGGTCCTGCAGCAGCACCCTGTGTGCTGAAAAAGACCTCGCAACCAAGACGGCGGCTCGAGCCAAAATGGCTACGGAAAGAGAGCGTAGGAGGGAGGAGGGAGGGGGGAGGGGGGAGGAGGGATGATGATGATGATGATGATGATGAGGAGGAGGAGGAGGAGGAAGGAGGAGGAAGAGGAGGAGAGGGAGGAGGAGAAAGATGATGGGGAGGGAAGAGGGAGAGAGAAGAAGCAGCAGGATGGGACGACGACGACCACCACTGCCACGAACACGAGGGGGAGCAGCAGAAGCAGCAGCAGGGGCGCCAAGAGCAACGCATCCTCGTCCATGCCCGCTTGCGACCGAGCGGGCCAGGCGTACCCGCCTTCCGCGGCCTTCCCGCAGCCGTCCACCCGCGGGGGTGGCGCGCGGCCGACGACACCGGTGGCCAGCGGCGCCATGGCCGCCAGAAAAGGGCGGGAGGGCTGGCGTGGAGTTGTGCCTCGAGCCTGCGACGGGGAGGTCGAGGGCGGGGGCCCTCAGAAGCGCCAGCAAGGCGCGCGGGGGGGGGGCAGGAGATGGAGGAGAAAGAAGAGGAAGAGGAAGAAAAAGACGACCAATGTAAAGCCAATGCGCGTCAACGATGTTGCAGTACACTCTCCCTCCAACTTCCCTCTTCATAGGTCCCTACAAGAAATATGCTCATTGCGGGAAGTGGGCCACTAGAAGACAACCATATGATAATCTTGAACCGTGCCACAACGAAACGCGATTCTTGGGACTTCAACACCGCGGATCAACGTGACAATTGCGTCCTGACGCTCCTAGATCGTGACAGAAACATAATCGCTGGGACTTCATCCCAAAGAATCGACGTGACGGCTGCGTCATGACAAGTGTAGATTGCGCCAGAACAAAGTTCCTGGGCCTTCAACCGTGGGAATCATTGAAGTTGTTGCAAACGTTTTGTTCGAATGTGCGCGGCACTAAAACAAAAACCACGATTTGAGAACCAAATGCCCTCCATCCGCGAAACTGCTGCCATCCTTTAAACGAATACGCGCGGCGCTAAGGCGAGAATCGCAAATTGAAAACCCACCGCTCTCCATCCGTGAAACCGCTGCCAATTTTCAAGACCAATGTGCGCGGCACTGAGACCAGATCCACATTTTGAAAACGAATCAGGAACGGGGAGAAAGTTTCAGGAGAAAACGCCCGGCCCGCCCTGCCGACACGTGTGGGGGTGCGACAGGGAGGAGTTATCCATGAGGTAAAGGGTCCGAAGAAGAGGAGGACGAGGAGGAGCAGGACCAGTGCAAACCGAAACCTCACCAGCGATGTTGCAATCACCCCTCCCCCCAAGCTCCCCTTTCATAGACCCCTACAAAGACTCTTTCCTATTGAGAAAAATTGCTCGTTGGAAAACAACCGTGTGAAAACCCTGAACCGTGCCACACAAAACACCATTCCTGGGACTTGGACGGCACGAATCAACCTCACAATTGCGCATTGATGATCCTGAGACATGCCAGAAGGCCAATCCGGGGACTTCCACACCGAACATCAACGTAACTGTTGCGCCCTGACCATCCCACATGCCTCCAAAGCACCACCTCTGGCACGTTAGCCATGAATGCTCGAAACGCCTGCCAATATTTAAGAACACCGACCGCCCTCTATATGTGAAGCCCTGGCTTTTCATTTTAAACGAATGTGCGCGGCGCTACAAGCGAGAGCCACATGTTGAAAACGGGCCGACCACAATCCGTGGAACTCTGTCAAATGTTTAAAACGAATGTACGCGGCGCTGAGGTGAGACCCACAGGATGAAAACGGACCGCCCTCCGTCTGTGAAGCTGTTCACTTTTCAAGCTTCAAGATCATACGCGGAGAAGACATTTCTGGCGAAACGCCCGGCCCGCCCTTCCGACAGGCCTCAGGGTGGGAAAGGAGGAGTTATTTACAAGGAGAAAGAACGGAGGATGAAGGGGACGTCGGCTTCGGGGTGCTCTCTGGATCTCGGCCTGGCCCCCTTTGGCCAGGGTTGTGCGGTCTGCCTCCGAGCCGCAGGCCTGCAAAGAGGAGGAGGCTCCGCAGGCCGACGCTTTTGGGGCCTCTGGCGAGAAGGGGTGGAGGAGGGAGGATTCTGACGCTCCTCGCACTCTTGTGTTGGCCTTGGGGAAGCCCCTGGGACGCAGAAGGACATACTAGTAACTACTACGTGCTGATGCTGGAGGCACACAGGGCAGGATCACATAGTACACAAATCTTATAGTGCATCGATTCCCGAGCGGTATGGCCAGAAAGCGCCAGCCACGGAGCTTGTACTATAAGATGTCTTGGCGTACGCGTTGCCCTTGCGGGGCCGACGCACACATAGTGTCAGTTTGTTTAAGCGGTGCCGAATCCTCGTCGCCATGTTTCGGTCCGCCTGGAGCTCCGGGTTCGTCGGAGCGCGCTCCAAGAGAGCTCCGGAATGAGCGGCGATGGGGCCGCTAACGGCGAGCGTACACCGACAAAGTGTTGCATCGCTCCCGTGCTTCCTTCCCCCCGCCCCGCAGTCTGTGAGGAGGGCGAAGCACAAACGCCGTGCGCCCCCAGCCCCCAAACAGAACATGGCGCGCAGCGTTGCCGAAGCCACATCGTGGAACTGGGCCACACAGCTTCGCGCATCGCGCCCCACGATGCGCGACTATCTTCGCGCCCTCGCGCCCTCGCCACGCCCCCTTGGAGAAGGGCAGCCTCTCCGTTCCAGGCCGCGACGTGCGAAGCGTTCGGTGGCAACTCACGGGAGGCTCCCATACAATCTTTGGGCTCTTGCGAATCGGCACTAGTCGACGCTAAACCGACGCTAATCGACGTTAATCGACGCTCATCGACGCTGAAGCGGCGCTGTCTCGTCGATGACCAGACGCTCATCGACGCTACTAAGCTCTGAAAGCGGAATGACGAGGGTAAGCAAGGATTCCATAATTTGTGACCGAACCTTTCTCCCTGGAGCCCGCCACATCGTAAAACGCCCTTGCCAGCGCCCTGAATGCCGACGACGCTCTCAGAGCGGGCTGCGCGAGGCGTCTGGGCCGATGATACGCCACCAAATTATACTATACACAGACACCCTCCGACGAACTTTGCATGTACCTTCAGGGAGGGCGGCGGCGTAGAAAGTTGCTGGCTCTCAGTATTGATTATATACCACCACCCTCCCCCGAGGCCGAGGAACAGTCCACTGGAGGGTGTCATTTTTATATATATATATATATATATGTGTGTGGCGGAGATCAGTACACTACACGGTACCGACTGGCCTGCACACCGGGCGGGCGCACAGAGAGGTCTGCACTTCAACGTGCAATCGGAGCTCCCAAACGGGAGTCTCTCGGGAGTTTACTGGAGGCCTCTCATCGAGCCCGCGGGGCTCACCTCTACAATCGCAATATTTCTACTACTCTCAGCAGCAGCACTGGCGTGTTCGGTCCTTCCAACTAGCGCTGTCGCTGTAGCGCTGGCCTCGTTCCAAGGCTGCGGTCCTTCCAACTCGTGCTCCCGCTGCAGCGGTGGCCTCATTCCCGTTTTCGGTGTTGGCCTCGTTCCCGCGCTCCAATCCTTCTAAATCGTGCTCTCGCTGCAGCGCTGGTCTCATGCCCGTCGGGCCTGGCCTCATTCCCACGCTTCGGTTCTTCCGAATCGTGCTGCAAAGCTGGCCTGTTCTTCCTCGTTTCGGCCCTTCCCGGGCGGGTGTTGTTATGTGTTCCCAATCGTGGCTTTTGCTTGCTGATACTTACAGCGGACCTTCCGCTACAACGTTGGCCTCCTTACTGCCACACCTGAGCCATGCCACGGTATGCAATGCGATGCTGTGTTGTGTACAGCTGTCGCTGTGCGATGCCATGCTTTGCGGTGCTATGCTTTGTGATGCAATGCTTTACTACGCAATGCCACGTTATGCTATGACATGCTATGCTCTGCCGTGCTCTCCAACTGAATGCTTATCCATCCATCGCGCACCCTCTTGGAACCACTGCCCTGCTCGACATCTGACTGTGCGAATAGATAGGATATCTACGCATTGTAGAGGATGGGAGGGTGGGTAGGACGTCAGATGTGACGCTGCTAGCGCACCTAGCTTGCCTCCTCCCCCTCCCGCTCCTCCTCGTGCTCCTCCTCCTCGGGGGCCACCAAACGGTGTGGTAACCACACCGCGTGGTGAATCAAGCGGATTCGAGGTGACCGCACGGCTATGGGACTCGGCTTGTTCTCCGAAGACGTCTCGGCGACTGGGGTCTTGAAGGTTCCAACAACCGTGCGGTGACGGACCGCGCGGTGAGATCGATCGGGATTCCGAGGTCGCCAGGCGGTCCGTCATCACAAAGCTTCTGGGCCCCGAAATGTATTTCGACCGCGCCGCGAGATCGCTGGCGCCGCGGCACAAATAATGTATTTCAGCCGTATGGCGGGGGAGGTTCACGGGGGAAGGCCTCGCGGCGGAATCGAATCCTCTGCAGTCGAATCGTGACCACCACTTCGAATGCGTAGCACAAACGCGACATCTCCAACGCCAAATGGTGCTCCTGGGAGCCCGTGTATTGCTGGGAAAAACCACTGAACAGCGACGGCAACCCTCCTCTGCTGCTGCTGGTCCTCCCGCTTCCCCCGCTCGGCCTGGCCGACAGCTATTCTGTCGCGCGGGTTGAACTTGAGCATCCGCTCGAGCAGGGAGATGGCATCCTGGGCGGGGCACGAGGGGGGGTGACGAAGAATATACCAAGGGGGAGCATGACGAGGACGATGATTGGGGGGGATGAAGACATGTGAATACTTCTTTCACTTCATGCTAGCGCGGCAACGCATCATGCGCTGCAACGGTACTCTGATAAATAATGTGTCCGTGCTGATGCTCTAGGCGTCTGCCTCTCATGTCAGTGTGCTGCGGCTAATGTTGAACAATGGTGCCGCTGAATGAGTCTGGTAGGGCGGTGCCATGGAACGTGCATGCAACGAACGGGGACAATGATCACGGTTGTGCGACGAGATTCCCATGGGTTCCCCTCGGGAGTGGATCAAAGAGAACGCCTGTAGCCTCGATCAAACATCCAAGGCAACTTTCGGGGTCCATGCGGCTCCCAGCCCGCAAAATCACCACGCGAACGCTCATAATTGTGTAAACAAATGTGGGAATCATTGCCCACATTACGCACGGAAGCGATTAAACGACTCGAGTCCCGACGCATCGAACCCAACAAATCCGCCGACCCTGTCGGCGTGTGTGGGACGCGTTTCCATTTGAGTCGTCGTCGTCGTCGTCGTCGTCGTCGTCGTCGTCGTCGTCGTCGTCATCGTCGAGGTCGTTGTCGTCGTCGTCGTCGCTCCCTCCCTTTCCTTGGTCCCTCCACCTCAAGCGCGCCATCCAGAGAACCAAAGGGGAGTCGAGTAACGTCGTAATCGAGTCGAAGGGAAGCCCTTTCCCCTTGATCCCTTTCCCACAAGAGGGGACTAAAGGGGTTTGGGAGGGTGTTCCGGGCGGGGTCCCAGGGGTGCGTCGCCTCTCCACGGGACTCCACACTGCTCCAAGAGGCCTCCAAATAACTCAAGAAAGTATCAAGCTTGCTTTACTCCGACGCTGTTCAATATAGCTCCCAGCATGCGGCCTCAGGCCCGCTCTAAGGCGGCGAGGAACAAATATGAAAAAATGGAGGGGATCTCGGGAGCTCGACAAATGCGGCGAGGGGCCAAAGCAGAGGGGAGCTCGGGAACTCGGCACTTCGTCAAATAAATGCAACACCAGGCACACTCCAGAGCGCATGGATCAGGCCATATTGCCTCTTCGGACCTCTAATTACGGTGCCGTTAGGGGGCCTCTTGGGGCTTATGTTGAACCTCCTGGGGGCCTGCGCCCCTCTTGGGGCGGAGGGCTCGAAATTTCAGTTCGAGTTCCCCTCTTTGAGCCCCTCTCGGTGCCCTCTTGGGACCCTCAGGGCCGATTTGGGCACCTCGCGGGCCGTCCTGGGCTTCTTCAGGCCACCTTGGGGGCCTCTTGGCTTGTCTCGCGGCGATCTTTGGGGGCCCTTGAGCTGTCTGAGGCGCGGTGAAGACACACATGGCGAATTTGCCAGAACTGTACGTTGTCCCACAGGGTTGTGACGATGTTAGTTTCTTGGGGCCCTCTTGGGGGGCCTCTTGGAGCGCTCTTGGGCTTTGGGGCGCTCTTGAGGCGCCTTGAATGGTCTTGGAAGCCCCTTGGGCACTCTGGAGGCTATCGCGGGCGCTCCTGGAGCGCCCCAAGGGCTGTCCTGAGCGGCCGGGGAGCGGCCCTGGAAACCCCAAGGGGGGGGGGGGTGCCCAGACTGGGGGTTCGGGGCCACTGTTTCTGGCCCCCATCCCTTCCCCGGGTAGACGTAGATCAATCATACAGTCGGGGCCCTGAAGAAGGAACCCTTTTCGTTGGGGAGGGGCTCCGCGTTCCTTAAGTGTTTCACAGCTTGCCTCAGGCTTTCCTTACGTTTTCGATAGGTAATCGAAGTTTAACTAATGGAAAAGAGGGGCCTCGTTCCTTATTTAGGGTTCCTTAGGTCAACGCCCCGACTGTACTAGTACTCACGATGCTGCGCCCGACCGGTTCCAACTCCGGCGATCCCCGCGCTCGGCTTCTGACAAGATTTGGATACGACCCTTGCAGGCAAGCTGGGAGAACTCTTGTGATGGCGCATCCCAGGAGAGCCCAGAATCGAATCGATTAGTCGGATCGGCGATCGAAACAGAATGAATCGGATCGGCGGAAATCGGCAGCCGAGTCGGGAAAAGTCGAATCGGCGGAAATCGGCAGGCTAGCAGGCCTCCAATGAGAAATCGGAGACCAAATCGGACTCCGAAGCCGAATCGAATCGGAATCGGAAACGTCCGAAATTGAATCGAATCGAATCGGAGAATCCAAATGAGCCCTGGCATCCTCGATTTCGTCCTGTCGCCGCAGCCGGCTGCCAGGAACTGCGGAAGGATGCAATGGCGCCCAACGTGCCTGGGTCTGCCCCCCCCCTCCCGCGGCACTCGGCAGCCACGCACCAGAGGCCCCCCGCACTTCCCATGCTTTCCCATCTTTCCCTGGGAGTCGACGACTGATTGTGTCTGTGTGTTTTTTCCCCCTCCTGGAAAAGACTACCTCTACGTGTAGCCGATCCTTGGTCCATGTCCGCTCTGGCGGAACGGTGAGTCCAACCTTTAAAATATCCGACGTCGTGTTGTTCTACCACGTACCCTCCCACAACAAAAAGGTCTGGACATCTCCCAGAGATTCGGCTTCTCATGGGGGACCCCTGGAGGGGAAAAATACTAACAACAGTGCGCCGTGCATTCTTACGACGCGAAGAAGCAAATTGTCTGGTAATAACTCGGGTCTCTGGAGTCCGTTCGGAACGATCCGGGCACCCCTGAACTCCCTTAGCGAGACGCAACTGCAGGAGAGCACCTCGAGGCTGGAAAACCTCCAGAAACCAACGAAAACGTCAGAACAGCCCGATACAGCCCCGCTACTGTTTTTGTTCCCGAAAGCATGGCGGCTAGACCATTTGCCAAACAAATCACTGTTTTGAAAACGCAGCGTACGAGTGTTGCTATTACGTCCTGCCCCCCTCCTTTTTCGCCTCCCCTCCTCCCACCTTGCCCTGGAGGAAATCTGGAGGCAGAACGAGTGGCAGGGGCACGCTGGCCGCAGCGAGGTGCGGTGGCGGATGGCGGATAACCGACAGGTGGAAGCAATTAGGCGCACGTGTATCAGGCACGCAGGCCTCGCGCAGCGAACTCGCCAAGGCCCAGAACACGGAGCGAGGAGGATGAGCAGGGGAAAAGAGGGGTGACTCGCATCCAGAAAGCAATCGTGCAGCGCTGTGGCGCAGACAACAGAAGCACTCTGCACGCGTTCGGAGCAGTAGCAGCTGCCCGCACTCTGTCCCGCAGCGAGCAGGGGGCGGCGGCGCAAGAAACCATCAAAGAAAACAGCGGGAACTCGCCACGTCACGCATTTTCCGCCAGACTTGACAAAGCGCCGCAACTGCACAGTCATTCCGCCCGACTGTGCGCGGGCGGCTCTCCGAATTCTTGGAGTCAGCCTCGTCAGACCTGTCCTCATCGTCGGTGGCAACTCATGCGAACCACCCGTACCATAGTGAATCAACGTAACTGATGCGCCCCGACAAACGTGAATCGTTCGAAGACACCACTTCTGGTACTTTGACCATGAGAATCCGTGAAAATATTAAATATTCTTGAAACGAGTGTACGCGGCGCTAAAGCGAAAACCAAATTTCGAAAAAGAACTGCCCTCAATCCGTGAAGCTCTTGCATTGTTTGAACGAATGTACGCGGCGCTCGGGCGAGAACCTCATTTTGAAAACCGCCCGCCCTCAATCCGTCAAACCCTTTGCAACTTCTTCAACGAATGTGCGCGGCGTTGAGGCGAGAGCCACAATTTGAAAACTACCCGCCCTCATCCGTGATATTGTTATCAGTTGTTAAGTTTCAGGGTCATGAGTGGTGACGAAGTCTCAGGCGAAACGCCCGGCCCGCCCTTTCGACCGGCCTCGGGGACAGACAGGGAGGAGTTATTCACCAGGAGAATGAATAGAGGGAGAAAGAAGAGGAAAAAGAGGAAGAGGAGGAGAGCTGGCGCAGACCACGAACAACTGTGTGGGGAGCTCTCCCAGCACCGTGCCTGCCGCGCCCCCTCGTGGCTACACACCTGGGGAGCCAGAACCTGGGCAAACGCGGAAATATCATGGACGGCGGCAAGAAAATATGAGAAAGCTGAGGGGGGGGCCAAGAAGCAAAAATCAGAGCGCGGCGCGAAAGCATTCGCTCCACGAATGCAACCCTTCAATCGCGAGGTGTGATGCTGATCGGATAAAGGCGAAAACTTAGGCCGCCCCCCAAGAGACACGCTCTCTGCCCCTGAAGCTGCAGGTCCTCGGGCAAAGATGGCTCCACGCTGTTTGGCGAAGCCGGCTCTGGGCAGGCTGTGCCGCCCGGAGAGGGAGGGAGGGAGGAGGAGAAGGAGGAAGGCGAGGAGAAGGAGGAAAAACGCGACGAGCAGACACAACCAAGCAGGAGAAGTAGGAAAAACGCGACGAGCAGACACACCGAATCATAGCTTTTCCGTTAGTTTCTGAAGGCTTATTGTGGTTCTCGCGCTTTCGGCTTACCGACGCTACAAGACGGCCCAAGAGAGCCCCAAGACGGCCCCAGACTGTAAAAGAAAGCCTCACGACGGCCCAAGAAGCCTCCATGACGTAGAAGGCGGGAACGGATCGACCGGACCTCCTGTGGCCCTCAGGTCTACTGGATCCGGGCGCCGCTCAGGGTGAGCCTGGCCCCATTCGACGACACGCACACACACACACACACCCCTCGGCAACGGGACAGGCAAAGATGAGAAGGGCCAGACGACCGCACAGGAGGCAGCCGCCGAGGCCAAACATCTTTGGGTTAGGGCCAAGATGCTTCTCGTGCACCACGTGGCTGTCCGCGGGAAACCCAGCGGCCGCTGCTGGCTCCGGAAGCACCGCCTTGAGCCAGTCCCCCCTCCGGCGTGCCCTGCAACCGAACGTCACATTTGCGGATGGATCCCGGTCAACCGAGGCCTTGCTGAAGCGGCCCTGGACTCCAGGCATCCCTCCCTGCTCGATGTTGTCGACGAGGAAGGTGTCTTCCCCCCCTGGCCGACCACCACGTGGTTGCCGTTCACCATCACTGGTATGTGGTCCTCTGTGCCCAACTCGGCTCAGTGAGCACTCGGGAGGTCATGTCGTGGAGAACGGTTTTGTGTCGGGGCGAGGGGCGACGTGTCCTTGGCAGAAAGCTGGCTGGCCTGAACAGTAACGGCTGTGCTCGCGGTGGGTTTTTTCGTGCCCCTCCCCCGCCCCAGCGCTTGGAAAGTATGAGCTTCTCTTCTGTTCATTCGCCTGCTCATGGGGGTCAGACTTCTAGGGGTCGGAGACAACGAAGGGCAAACTAATGACGACACATTTTCTTATAAAACGAGCACGGGCCTGGGCGAAGACGTTCCAAAGGAATTGCTGAGGAAAAGCAGCGAACCATATAGTTCCTGAGACAAAGAGGCCCTTCAACAAGGATGACCTAAGGAATGTGCCTTACCTTTTCCTGGCCCCTACAAGGCTGACCCCCCTTAGAAGGTGAAACATCTCTGTCCTCATCAGACCGAGGGGGCCGAGTGGTCTTACGTTGTCTCTGGGTGCGTGGCTGAAGTGGCGTTCCGCGGTGCGGATCTGCGGCAGTGGCCCCTTCAGAGATTGCCCCCAGAGACCGCAAACATCCCAGCATAGTCTCGGGGAGGCAGAAACGCCCCTCAAAGCGCTCCAGAAGGCCCGCACATGCACCAAAGCAGAGGCCAGCAAAACAGCAAGCAAACCAACGGCCCCAGCACCCTCAACCCCCTTCCGGAGAAAAGCGGCAAGCAGGCAGGCGACAGGCCAGACCCTTGCGCCTTTCAGCCTCCATCACCTCCCCGATGAGTGGATTCACGCTCTTCTTGTCGGCCCCGTCCCGAGGACCCGCCGCGACCACCCCGCGGCCTGCCCCGCCGCCTGCCCTAGAACGCGCCCGCTGCGCGCAACGATTCCACGACCCACCCGCGACCCGCTGTGCGATTTCCCCACCGGAGCGCCGAAGATCCGTCCACGACACGCTCACAGTGCTTTGACTAAGAAAATCGGCGCCTTCGGCGGGCTCATGTCATATATACATATATCCGCGGATAGCCCCTTCACATGTGCTTTAGTCCTCGCAAGCTGCCGACAAGCCCCCCGCCCCCTCACTCTGATCCGCAAGCGCGGTGGCTACGGTGCACTCCCCAAACCACGCTCGCACTTCGGATTCTAACCTCTCGTCTGAGCAATTGGACGCGCAGGGCAGGAGGTTCGCCTGGTGGCCGCCCGTGGGCGGCTCGCGGGCGCCTCGTGCGCGTGACCTGAATCGTTGGGTGGGCCTGCCAGGGTTTCGCCCGATGACGGGCTGGTGGCCGCCCGTGGGCGCCTCGCGGGAGCCCCATGCGCTGGGCGAGTCTGCTGCAGTTTCTCCTCGCGCCTGGCTGGATCACCTGCACCACATAGCTTGCACATCATACTGCGCATTGCACCATGCACCGAATGTATTGCACAGCCTGCGCTGCATAGCTTGCGCCACAGCATGCGCCACAATGCTTGCACCACATGGCTTGCACACATGGCTTGCACCATTTACCTTGCGTCACGTGGCATGCACCACGTGTTTCGCGCCAGGAAAATCATACGCATCCAGGGCGCAATGACGCATCGCCTGGGGTCTCTCGAGCCAGATATAAAACACATCCAGGGCCCAATGACGCATTGCTTGCTCTGTAAAGAAAGGAGGGAGAGGAGGAGGAGGAGGAGGAGGAGGAGGAGGAGGAGGAGGAGGAGGAGGAGGAGGAGGAGGAGGAGGAGGAGAGGAGGAGAGGGAGGAGAGGAGGAGGAGGAGGAGGAGAGGAGGAGGAGGACGGCAGGGGGGGAGAAAGGGATATGGGGTGGGAAGGTTGAGACAGGGCGGGTGCACTCAAGTTAGAATAACAAGCTGCATCAACCAAAACTTCGGAGCTCCGCGCGGATTTCTTGGATCGGCGCTGGACCCCCCTCCCTGGCGCGCGGAACGCGCGGGCGGCGCCTGAGGCGCCGCCAGGGGGGCCCAGCGCAGATCCAAGAAATCCGAACTCCGAAAATGTATGCTTATGTTGTTTGGGTCCTTCTTCGCCTGGTGGAATGAATTATTTGGGCGGCGCGCACAAGGGGGTGAGGGGGGGGAGAAGGCGCTGGCCTAACATCTGTAGGCAGGGCCCGCGCCTTCTAAGAAATAGGGTGCTTCTAAGAAGCCTTCCCCCAACCCCGCTATGCGCGTGGCCGGTTATTGCCTCCCGCGGCTCGGAACCACTCGCTCCCAACAAGCTGTCCGGTCCGCGTCCACGTGCGGAAACTTGGACGCGAGGCCGTCCCCGCTGCGCGTCGAGAAGCACCTGCGGTGAGGAGAGGTGGTGAGAGAGGGCATCCTCCTCGTGCTCCTCCTCATCCTCTTCTTCTTGTTGTTTTTCTGTTTAGCATATTCTTCTGACTCTAAGTGTTGTTATTCTAGACGCTTCGCGTAACCCCACCAGCCCATCCAGAAACGATGCCCAGAGGAATTGCTTCGATCAGGGAGTGGACAGCACACAGAGAAATTACGAACATAGGAGCCTCGTAGGATGCCTCTTGGGATTGTTTTGGAGGCCTCTTGGAGCGTCTGGAGGGCATCTTGAGGAGGAGGAGGGCGAGCAAAAAGGCCAGAGGTCGCTTGAATGACTTTCGGAGCCTCTTGGGATATCTGTTGGGCGTTTCTTGGAGGCATCTTGGGACGTCTGGGGGTTCTCTTGGCGGTCCTGGGGGGCTCTTGGGCGTCTTGAGTGCCTCGGGGGGGGCCTCTTGGGACCGCTTAGGGCCCTCTTGGGGCCTCTTGAGGGCTTTTTGGGGCCATCTTGGGGCCATCTTGGAGCCATCTTGGCGCCACTTGGGGCCTCCTGGGTGCCTCTTGGGGCCATCTTGGAGGAGATCGATCAAAGAAGAGGGGTTCCCTAATTCGCGCCCCCCCTCGGGAACCTCCAGAATCGCCTCCTGGACCCCTCTTGGGGCGCTCTTGGAGCGCTCTTGGGCGCTCTTGGTGTCGTCTTGGGGCTCTCTTGGGCCCCTGTTGGGGCTCTCTTGGGCCCTCTTGGAGCCATCTTGAGGCCTCGGATGGCCATCGGAAGCGAAAAAGCGAAAGGCAAAAATCATTGGTTTTCCTTAGGTTGTTGAAGGATTTTGGCCTCTTGGGAGGCCTCCTTGGGAGGCTCCGTGGCCACTTGGAGTCGTCTTGGGGCGGTCTTGGGGCCTCTTGGAGCATCTTGGGAGCCATCTCGAGCCATCTTGGGGTATCTTGGGCCATCTTAGAGCTCATCTTGGGCTCTCTGAGGCCCTCTTGGAACCATCTTGGGCCATCTTGGACGCTCTGACTACCAGCGGCCCCCCCGTCCAAGTCCAGGGGAGGGGGTTAGGGGGAGGGGTAAACCCCTCCCCGAAGGGGAAGAAGGAGGTTGGCAGAGGAAGCTCCTTAAACCACCTACGCCCAGAGGGCTGGTGGGATTCTCATGTACAGTATCATTAAAACTATGAATAGTCTCGTCTCCGCCTTATGATGTCTCTTATGGCTCTTAGTGCTGTTATAGTGGTACTTCAAGTATTAATAACCATCGTCTTACTTTCTGATGCCTTAGTACGACTGCTCTTCTTAGTATTGGAAGTCGTCTTATTAGTTTCCATGTTCGAGCTATTCGTAATAAAACCATTCGTCGCAATCTTAAAGTATTCGTAGTCGTGTTTTTTCGTGGTATCCCCCTCATTATCCTCATCCTCCTCATCCTCCTCCTGCTCCTGCTCCTCCTCCTCCTCCTCCTCAACCCGCTCCTCCTCCTCCCCCTCCCCCTCCTGCTGCTCCCACGTCTGAACCCTACGGCCGCAAGTAAGACTTCTGAGTCACGGGTGGCGCGCTCAGAGCCTGAGGGATTCTGCACCCAAGCGAACCCCGACGGGGGCGGCCGATACGCAATTGCCGCACTACCAGCATTCCCTTCCGCTCCTGCTCCTCCTCCTCCTCCTCCTCCTCCTCCTCCCCCTCCTCCTCCTCCTCCTCCTCCTCCTCCCCCTCCTCCTCTTCATCCTTTTCCTCCTCCTCCTCCTCTTCTTCCTCCGCCTCCTCCTCACCCGCCTCATCGCCATCGTCGCCGTCGCTGCCGTCGTCATCAGCATCGTCGCAGCCGTCATCGTTATCAGTACCATCGGAATCAACATAATCATCAGACTCATCATAAGCATCGTCGTCACCACTATCACCGTCATCCTCACCACCATCATCAATACCGTCCACATCATCACCCTCATCGTCCGCAACATTTTTCCCGTCGCCATCACCGCACTAATGTTACCTTTCCTCTCTCAATACTCCACTTCTTCGATCCTGCTCTTGCCTCCTCCTTGTCCTCCCCTTTCTTCACCACTGTCCGTCTCAGGCCCACCGACGACGGAGCAATCATCAGCACCCCCCATTCCACACTTCAGCGTCGGCAATCATCCCATAAGACACCTAACTCCGCGCATCGCGCTACGCGATGCGCGAGCTGCGATTACCTTCGCGCCCTCGAGGAATAATGCACTCGCGCCGCCCCTCTCTGGAGGGCAGCCGTGTTGAGCCCAGACTGCGACGCGCGAAGCGCGATTAGCTTCGCGCCCCCCGCGGGGGACCCGGATCAATCGAGCAAGAGGAGGACACATGTCACTCTCGGCCAGTACCTCTGACGCACCCCTGCAGGAGGACACACACCTCTCACGTACACCTGCAGGATGCTGCTGCTGCTTTTCCTCATCCTCCTCCTCCGCCTCCTCCTCCTGCTCCTCCGCCTCGTCGTCCTCCTCCTTCTCCTCCTCCTGCTCCTCCTCCTCCTTCTCCTGCTCCTCCTCCTCCCCCTTCCCAGCCCCCACCCTGTGACTGCAGCGGTGGTGAGATAATGTGAGATGCTATCTCATCCTCTCCGTCTGCTGCGGCTCTTCCTTATGCGCCTCCTGTGCATCTGCATCTTCTCAATCTCCCCGTCTTCCTACCAGCGTACTCTCCTCGCGTTCGCCTTCCTGTAACTCGTTCTCATGTTCATCCTCCCCCACCCGCAAAGGGAAACGACAAGTTTTACAGTGAGGCGCATAATCTTAGAGTCCTCTGCTTCCTTCTCCTCCACCTATTTCTGCTCCTCTCTCCTCGTGTCGCCTCCTCCTCTCTCTGAAAACGTCTCCCCTTCGTCCGCGCTGCTCTCTTTGGTCTCAGACGATGGACTCCGTGAACGGGGCGGCTGGCGCACTTGATGTACCGCTTCGCGTCCTCGCGCTCCAGCTGCTCTATGTCTGCTGGCGAGGGGGTGCCCAGCAAGCTGAAAATCATGTTCAGCTGGTCGTGCTTACCTAAAGGGGCTCAAAAAGACACACATAAACAAACACACATTCCAAACTTCCCCATATGTTTCAAGATCTTATGGATATTCCGCTTCCCCTCCACGTCCCACATACTCCATATGTTCCTCCTGAGTATCTCACGCTCCCGACTGCACGCTCTCTCGCGTCCGCTCAGTCCCTGCACGGCGCCAGCCCCGTGCCCTGTCGCTGGGAGGGGCACTTCCACGAAGGGGAGGGGAAACTGATGGGGAGAAGCGAGAGAGGCTGCCAGGACACTCGGCCTCCTCCTTTGGGCCACCTGACCCTCGAGAGGCTCACAGCTCCCAGAACACCCAGCCTCATTCCTTGAGACCACCCCCTAACCTCGTGTGCCACGTCCCGCGATGCGCGACGTGCACCTCTCTTCGCGACCTCGCGAGACAACCTCTGAGAAGGGCGGATCAGCGACCCTGGCGGCGACGCGCGACTACAGTCCAAACTGCTAGTACGGACGCACGGTAAGGGTGCACACCTCTTGGAGGCTCAAATTGGAACCTTTGGAGCGGTACAGTTGGAACGGAACGCGGCTAAAAACCTAAGCCTACCATACTCGATGACGGACCGAACATGCAGGGATGCCAAAGTAATGACCCTTCGAATGTCACTAATCCTTCCCAGACATCTGGCGCTTCGTTTTTTTTTCCGATTTGGCACAGCCAAAATGGTTACGGAAAAAATGCGATTCCCAACAGCAGATACTTTTCAAAACCGACAGTGGCCGCTGTTGGGCAGGCGAATTTCTGTCTCAAATGAATGGACAACGCCCACGGTGACGCCGACAACGAGTCAGCCCTGTTTAAAGTGGACAACAACTGCTGCCAATCTTCGCCTCCATTCTTTCCGTACTCCGACCATTTCGGCCCTCCGGATCTATGACTGGGGCCCACGGGCCTGTCAACCTCTTCCCCAGTTCTTCATCCCGAATGATCTGCTCTCGGCCACGAGGCCCAAACTGGCCTCAGATGGCAGAAATAACGACAAACTGGCCGCCTCCTCCTCCTCCTCCTCCTCCTCCTCCTCCGATTCCTCGTCAAACCTCCTCTTCTTAGGGTATGACGTCTTCCCAAACCCCCTACTACACTGCGTGCTCCCCCACATCCCTGATCAAGGCAACTCGCCTGGACATCGTTTCTGGATGGGCTGGTGGGGTTACGCGAAGCATCTAGAATACATATACCGATCGCCTCGACTATTTCAAGGCGCTGGATGTGTTGGTCACTCGTACTTGCTCGTACTATGCGTGCGCTACGGGCCCAAAAATGCACTCCACCACCACCACCACCACCACCACCACCACCACCACCACCACCACCACCACCACCACCACCTCACTCACCCCCTCCCTCACCCCCTCCCTCACCACCATCCTCGCACAGGAAAGAGTAGGGGAAGAGAAGTGTGGAGGAGGGAGGCGAAGTGAAGAGGAGGAGGAGAAGACGAATGGTTGCGGTTGTGTAGGAGGGAGGGAGGCTGGAGGAGGGAAGAAGAGGGGAAGAGGAATGGTGCTGGTGTAGGAGGGAGAGTGGAGAAGGGAAGAGGAGGGGAAGCGGAGGGGAAGGGGGGAAGGCGAATGATGGTGGCGCATATTCTTGGGACCCGCATTCGCATCCCCTGGGGCTGACCTAGCCTCCTGGGGAGACCGTGCGCCCTCCGCTCCCTGAGATGCCACTGGAACCTCCCAGGGGTGGGAGCTCTGTGGTTCTCTGAAGCAACAAGGCCGTTTTTTTACGGCTTCGCGGGAATGGAAACTGTCAACAACAATGAAACAAGAACGGTTCGCCGAAACGGAAAAAACTACTCCGGGATTGAAGCCCGAGCTATAACATATGCTATAGTGAATACCGCGGTTGTGAATCTAGTCTTCGGTGGAGCTCCCCATGGGGCCGCGAAACGTGTGAGGGGCGTGCCGAAATGGGCGCGGCGGTGCCATGCGGGCGCTGCCACTGGGGCCTTTGGTGCAGCTCCCTACGTATGGGGCCGCGAAACTTGTGAGGGACGTGCCGAGATGGGCGCGGCGGTGCCATGCGGGCGGTTGCCACTGGGGCCTTCGGAGAAACGCCCTACATCGGCACTGCGAAAGTTTTCAGCCATTTCGTGCTTCCACCTTAATTGGGCGGGAACGCCATGGCGAACTCGAGCTGGAGAAATGCCGACCTTTATTTTCGATGAAGTCCTGGGCGGGATCGCCACGTCGAAATCGACCCAAAAAATGATCGAATTCAGTTTTCAGGCAGTCCCGGGTGAGAGCGCCATTTCGAAATCGAGACCGAACGGCTCCGAATTCTGTCTCGGAGGAACTCCTCGGCGGGAGCGACATTTCGAAATCGAAACAAGAAGGTTTCGAATTCTAGTTTGGAGGAATTCTCGGGCGGGCACATCATTTCGAAATCGAACCCGAAATTTCAAAACCGTTCGTAACTTTTTCCGGAGGAAGTCTCAAGTGAAACCGTCGTGTCGAAATGGCCACACCGTCTGGCACGTACAAATTTCAATTTCCGACCAGAGATTCCGAAACGATTCCCAAAACGCTTGAGACTTCTTCCCAAAACGATTTCGACTGGAGTTCGAAACCATCTAGTTCAAATTCGAAAAGGCGGTTCCGGCCGAGACTTGAGCAAAGCAGTGCTTGAACAAAGCATTGTATTGGGGCCCCGCAGCCCCAAGAGCCCTTTAAAATCTCCTCTCTTGTCGCGGGCGCAACGCCACTGACAACGTTGTCCCGCGGCCCCGTCGCCTAACATGAATCGCTGCAGCGTCGAAGCGTGGGGCTGCGAAACGTGTGAGTGGTGTGCCGAAATGGGCGCGGTGCGGGCGCCGCCGTTTGGGACTTCGGTGGAGCTCCCTATGGTGCCACGAAGCCTGTCAGGGGTGTGCCGAAATGGGCGCGGTGCCGCCATGCGGGCGCTGCCACTCAGGCCTTCTGTGGAGGCTGTGCCGACATGGGCGCGGTGCCGCCGTGCGGGCACTGCCACTGGGGCCTTCGGTGGAGCTCTCCACGGGGCCACGAGACGTCTGAGAGGAGTGCCGAAAGAGGAGAAGTGCCGCCATGTGGGCGCTGCCGCTTGGGCCTTCGGTGGAGCTCTCTATGGTGCCGCGATGACGTGAGTGGTGCCGAGTTGGGTGCGGTGCCGCCATGCGCGCGCTGCCATTTAGGACTTCGGCGGAGCTCGCCATGGGGCCACGAAACGTGTGAGGGGTGTGCCGGAATGCGCATGAGGAGGGCAGAGGCAGGGATGGGAGGAGGGGGGAATCGAACACCCAACACCGCAAAATGGTTGGGAAACAACGGCGACGGACCCGGGGCCACAAACGGGGCTGGAACCAGAAAGAAAACAGCCAAACGAACACGGGACAAACAAAACAACCCTGTCGTTTCTAAGAACCACTAAGGGCGGGACGTCCCAACCTGGATGGGCCAGAGGGGGATTGGCTGACACCCAGAAATCACGTGCGCTCCGACCCTCGGGGTGTCCTGGCCGATGTCTGGCTTCCTATGCGCTTGTACCGTACT